CCAGCATCTGCAGTTCCTACTATCTCAAGTAATTATCAATGTCATTTTGAATTTTTATTTTTTAGGTTATTAATTAATATTATTACATATGCTGTCTAAATGCTTAAAGCTTACCTGTAAAATCAGAGGGAAAACATTTCACCCAAGACTAGGTGGTGATCTCTCATGCAGGCTGTTTGGCTACAAGAAATTGCCACAGTTATTTTCAGAGGTGTACTGTTCCAAGTTTCAAATCAATGGTCAAGTCAGTTAGAACTGCTGACTAACATCACAATCTGAATTCTCCTTCTGATGATCCTAGAAGATGCATTCCAGAACCCATCTCAACATAGGGCAATACTCCAGAAACATTGTTTTTAACATTTTCTGACCTTCAGGCTTCCATAGCAGAATGCTACACATTCCAGTTTCCAAGCCTGAAGGTTTAATCTCAATCTTCTTGGTCAAAATGTGAGAATTCCATCTGGAAATTTTGAATATAACCTTTCGCTCACTTGTTTTTGCCAAGCTATGGCACTTAATTCAAGTGATTTTCTGTTATCTTTGTCTGGTGCAGGTTGTTAAAGTACACCAGACCTCAGTGGACTCATATTTGGAGGACATCTTGTTGAAGTCTGTGCAATATACAGCAGAGGATCAAGCACGCCAAGAAATTCGTAAAATGGCTGATGAAATCAATGATATTGCCTATAAACTTGAACAGCAGTATGTAGCTATTCATTACTTGTTTAGTGTATTAAACCTCAGCTGTGCATTATATTATAATCAAAAGACAAACTGAAAAGTTAGATCAAAATGTTGTTTGCCTTTTGTATTGCATGCATACTTTTAAAGATCTGTATGCACAATGAGCCCTCTTCTTTAATTTACAAATTTTATCATCTAGGATTTGGTTTGTATTATTTTCTTCATCTTTTATTTCACATTTGTCTGCATTGAACTTCAATGGCTCAGTGGCTAGCACTGCTGCCTCACAGCACCAGGGACCCATGTTCAATTCCAGCCTTGGGTGACTTTGTGTGGAGTTTGTACGTTCTCCCTGTGTCTGTGTGGATTTCTGTTGAGTACTCCAGTTTCCTTGCACAGTGCAGAGATGTGCAGGTTAGGTGGATTGACTATGCTAAATTGCCCCAGTGTCCAGGAATGTGTAAACTAGATGAATGAGCCATGGTAATTGCGACAATACGGTGGATAGGGTTGGAGGCCGGATCTGGGTGGGATGCTCTTTGGAGGGTTGGTGCAGACTGAATGGGTTAAATGGCCTCTTTCCATACTGTAGTGACTGTATGATATGTTCAATCCTGCGTATGCCCAGCTTGCAATTCTCCAAATGCTTATTCCGCCTGTTGCTTTTCAGCGAGTGTGAAATGTTGTTGGCTGTCTTTGACTAGAGCACTACAGTTAGCTCCCTTACACAGCAGTGGGTGGAAAACCATAATATGTTGCAAAGATTCTAGCTTCGGCCTAGCAGAAGCTCACCACATGAACGTTGATGACTATGTTCACCTTCATAGCCACTGGCCATGTGGTCTTCACCTTCTCCAGGTGACACTACGGATCTGAATTTTATTCCCGAAGTAATTTATTCTGGTTTACGGTAATCTGATTTTATCTTTCTCATTAGCCGAACTGAATTACAATCAGAAGAGATTGTTTCAGAATTGGTCCACGGCTTTCTAATTCCAGAAGCGCACAAAGTAATAATGAGGGACAGAGGTAAGAAATGTTCATTTGTGTAGATTGAGACTGGGAAATTTAGCCTTCATATTAACTGGAAGTGTGGGAGAAAGTGGAGGTGTTGCTTTACATTAAAACATCTCTTTGATGGAATGAGAGTGTGTTGGCTAGAACAGCAATTGTTGTCCTTCCCTAATTGCTATTGAAAAGGTGTTGGTGAGCCATCATCTTGAACCAATGCAGCCCATGCTGTGTAGAATATTCATAGTTAGGTGGAAAAGCAGTTCCAAGATTATAATCCTGTGACAGTGATATGGTTCCCAGTCAAGATAGTGTGTAGCTTGGAGGTGATCTTGCCAGTAATGATATTCTCCTGCATGTGCACCCCTTAGCTTTCTCAATGGGAGCGGTCACAAGTTTGGAATTTGTTATCAAAGGAGTCTTGGTGAGTTGCAGTTGTGTACCACAGAGCTGCCGGCGTATGTTAGAACATTGGCTTAGTCCTATTCCTATCAGCCGGTCAAAGCAGCCCTGCCCTTCAATATGATCATGACTAATTGACTGAACATTTCAATGCCTTTTACATACCCTATCCTCATAACCATGTATGCCACTGGTATTGAGTTTAAATGTATGCAAAGACTGAGCCTCCACTGTCCTCTGTGGCAGAGAATTCCAAAGATATACAACCAACTGATTAAAACAATTTCTCCTCAGCTTGGACATAAGTAGCATCCTCCTTATTTTCAAATTGTTTTCTAGGTTTAGACTCCCCAACAATGGGAAACAACTTACCTGCATCTGCAGAATCTATGCTTTTTAAGCATTTCGTGGGGTTCAATAAGATCACATCTCATCCTTCAAAACACCATAGAAAAACTCCATTTGTCTAACCGCTCTTCATAGGACAGTCCTAAGTTGGTAGTGGAGGCAGCGAATTCTCAGCCTTGAACGTGCCACTGTCCCTGAATGTATATTCCTGTTATATTTTTGGTGAATGCTCCCATTGTTGTAGCTGTCATGAAACAGCCTAGTTAGGGGTGTAGCTAGTTCTGGAGTACAAGTCTTCACCACTGGTTGCACTATTGCTGGAAGAGGGATTATCCACTCCGCACTTCTAGCTGAGTTGATGGAAAATGCTTCAGGCTTGTATTTTCCGTGTGCAGTGCTGGGCTCTGCTATAATTAAAGGTGAGGATATTTGTAAGGCCTCTTTCTCTTGTTGTATAATTATCCACCACCATTCAGAACTTTAAGCTGATCCATTGGTAGGGCACTTGTCAGCTGTTTCTGTCATATGGTATTTTGTTGTTTAGTAAGTAAGCCATGAGACTACGTATTGTGGTTGAATACTATTTTGCTGCTGTTGATGGCCCTCAGAACCTCCATGGTTTGCTCAGTTTTGAGCTACAATGTGTTATGAATCCATTCCATTGAGCATATTGGTAGTGCCATTCAATGCAACATGATAGGGGAGATGCCTGGTATAAAGATTACAGGGATGAGTCATAAATGGCTGGAGAGCAACAAGGTGGGGGGGGAGCTGGAAAGGTAACCTTCTGGAATGTTAGTGATCAGTAAACTGAGAAAGATTTTAGTTCAAAGGAACATTAGGATAGGAATTTGGAGAGGGTGGTAGAAATTGAGGGCAAGTAGTGGGGGATGCCAATGGACGGTCAGTGTAGGAAGAAATCAAATCAGAAATGGGGTTTGTCTACTGCAGGGATTACAAGTGGACTAAAGGGATATACTCCTGTTCCTGGTTCACAAGCTATGCTGGAAAAGCACTTAACTGTTCCAAACAGAAATCCTCAACTGCCTTTACAGTTGAAATTTTTCCTAAGATATTTTTATTTACTTTTACTTGTCAATCACATACCTGTTTATTTTTGAAAATCCTCCAATTTGGATTTGTTAATAAAAGGATTTTTGAATTTGGTAACTTCCCTCCTACCTTTTATATTTGGTTTAAGATCCAAGAATCCCACATTTGTAATTTTGTGAGTTGGATCACTCTGGGGAAATACATGCAATTTATTGTGCTTTTATTTTGATAATTAGGAAACCATTATCATTCCTAAATATTTTTCCCTATATATTTGCTGATGGCCCCAGTAAAATTAATGAGAATTGACTTAGTAAAAACACATTCTAGAGTTTCATTTTATCAGTGTTGTGTACTAATTATGTCATTTGATGGTTGTTATGAGATTAGTAGATAAAGCTATAAGCAACTGCTTTCCTTGTAAAGGATCAGCAATCATCAACGCAATTGGAAGTGGACAGTTTTCCCAACGTTGTAAACTAAAAAACAATCTTAAGTACATCCAATTATTAAGGAAGAGTTTTGCCACTTCATAAGTATCTTTCATGCTGCTTTAGAATTTCAGACAAGAATAATTCTTCTTTTCATCCAACAGTAAAACACTTTCAAAGTAGACATCTCCTTGTTGCCCACCGGATTATTCATAATGAAGCTGAACGTATCATGACAAATACAGCTTCAGCTGCATCAGCATCCAGCCGTGCTGCAGAAGATGTTATGAATCAAGTACTGACTGAAGTTGAAAAAGAGATGAAGATGACACAAGGATCATAAGTGAGGAACAATGAAGTTTTAAATGAGGAAAGGGGAATGGGGCATAATTTTCATTTGTGGTATGACAAACAGATTACACACCTATTATAGGATTAGTTCCTATTTATTAAAGCAAAATATTGCAGGTGCTGAAAATCTGAAACAAAAACAGAAAATTCAGAAAAAATGGCAGCATCTGTAGAAAGAGGAACAGAGGCCTGATTTGTACTCTCATGCCAAGTAGCATGAGTAAGGAAACTTCCCAGCTTGTCACTCCTGCTTTGCAAGATGACCATGAATGATGCAACCTTCAGTCAGGGGTGGGAGTGATTGTGTGTTAGTGATGCATGCTGTCCTGGATGCAGATTAGAGATATTGAGGTGGGCTGTTTAAAAAGACCCACTTAGGATCCTCATCTGGGGTGGTGGCAAGGGCCAACAAAAATGAATGTCTATAGCATTAAGGAGATCTAATGTTTATCTAATAGGTCCATGTTTACTTTTTCTAATCTCTTCCTTTTTACACTCCTCCTTCCTCTATAGAAACCATTCCAATCTTTTGATATCTCTTGCTTACTCATTCTGTTTTCATTTATCAATTACTTGGTCATCCTTTGGTGAATTCTAATACCTTCCCCCTCCTCCACTAACTGTACACATTTCACTTGCTCGCCTGGGATAGATAAATAATATAAATACTGCAGGATGAGTTAATATGCATCTATATCACATTCTGAATTACTTAAGTGTTCACCATTGCTTATCTACCACTGAATTTTAATGGAGTTGTCAACTTATCTCAGCCAATTCATTCCTTATATCTGCATTGTTTGCTTTGTTCAGATTTAAGACCTTAGTTTCTGACTTAACTAATCATTATCAAACTTCTTAAATAGAATTTAACAAGGCAGATGAATGTATAGTGTTAATATCACTGGACCATAATCCAGAGCCCCAGGCTATGAGCCCATGGTTTCAAATCCCTCCATAGGAGATGGTGATATTTAAATGAAAAAAAATCTGGAATAAAAGCTGAACTAATCATGTAACCACAGCTGACTGGTGTTTTTAAAAACTCATTTGGTTCACTAATGTCTTTTAAAGAAGGAAATTTGCTGTTCATATCTGATCTGGCCTACATGTGACTTAAAACCCACAGCAATGTGGTTGACTCCTAAGTGCCCTCTGGACAGTTTGGTATGGGCAATAAATGCTGGCCTGACCAGTGACACCCATGACCTCCCATGAATGAGTCAAAAAAAATTACTTATCCATAGATGCCCTCTTACTAGGTACTTAATTTTTCTTTTTTCATTGCACAATTAGATAATAGCCTGTACCATAATTTGTTCCTTAACATATTGATATAGAACATTATATACTTCATTTAAATATTCCATAAACTTTTTTCCCTCCACATTATTAATATAAAATTTGGTTTGAGAAAATCTTTCTTGATTAAAGTCTCCATGATCATTACCCTTGTTAAGTGGACCTCTAATTCCCTGATTTAAATTCTGGCCAACATTGCAACTCCTTTTTAGGGACAAGTAATCATCAGTATTTCCTCCACTTCGTTGTTTCTTGGTGCCACGCAAACTGATTTTACATATGGATTGCTGAGATCTGGTCCTTTTCAACAAATTGCAATGATGGAAATGTTTTCTAAAGGTTGAACATCCTGAAATATTTAGTTCCCAATCTTGACGAAGCTGCAGCCACAGCAACTGCCTATTAGTTCAAAGCCAATAAATTTATTGGCTTTGAACTAATAGG